TTCTGCTCTCACCACGGGGGTGGGTGGGTGAAGTTTGAATTGTTGCCTACTCATCTGAACAATAATGCCATAAGTGTTATATTGGAAATGATGAAAAAGGAAACCAGTTAGAATTGACTGAAGAAATTGCCAGTGAATATGGAAATTAGAGAAATAACAGAAGAAGTTAATAGCAATAGTCATGAATGCATTGGCCTCCCTATTTGTGCCCGTGATAAGGTATTTAGATTATTTTGTTGAGCACAGAGTGATAGATTCAGCAATATTTGACCAGTCATCAGTTACTGTGGGGTGAGCTCTTATACCCAGGAACCCCTCTGGGATTTGAATGCTATAGTAATAAAACTCTGTGTTCCAATGAGCTAATGCAAAACTAAGGCGCCCTGGTAGGGCATATGTTATCTCTTACCAACCCAAGATCAGTTTGGAGCCACCCACCACTCCCCAGGGGAAAGATGAGATTTTCTGCTTTCACGAAGGCTTACAGCCTCAGCAAACCACAGGGGCAATTCTACTGTGTTCTTGAGGACCGCTTTGCGTAGCAACCAGCTCGGTGGCACTGAGTTTGGTGAATGCACATCTACTGAGTATTAAGAAGATTCAAGTCCAAATCCAGTCTCTTTGATCAGTTTTTTCCTTGAATGATTCTTTATTGAGGACTTGCTATGTGCCTGACACGGTTTTAGATGCAAGGGAGGAAGGAGATTATGTTGGTGTGAGGGAGACAGTCTCTAAACAATATAAGCAATGTTATAACAAATGTTAAATAGCGTTGACTTTTATGGCAAAAGAAATTGACCGTGGTCTCGAGGTACAGGGAAGAGAGGCGTGATCAATTAAAACTAGAGTGATCAGAGTAGAGCTTATTGAGAAGGTGCCATTTGAGCCTCAAGGAAGGTGAAGAGCCGTAAGTGCCACCGGAAGAGCAGGCCAGGCAGAAGTAGCAAAGCAGGCCTGTCAGGGCTGGGACTAAAGTGGCGTAATGGTGGGCAGCACATGCCTTGAGGCAAGATTTCAGAATCGCCAAAAATGTCGTAATTAAGAGAATATTACTTTAGGCAAAATTTAAAAAATCAATTTCTGCAAAAACAAGCCATAATTAATAACACATGAAATAAAAACAAGCTCCAAACCTGCCCTTGGCAGGACTTACCTCACTATTTTCGGGATGTCTGCTGTGAATAAGGGGCTCATGTGGCTGGAGCAGTGCTTGAGGGAGCAGGGTGTGAGATCAGAGAGGTGATGAGGGACCAGGTCTAGTGGGGACTTGTTTGTTATTTTGTCTGGAGCAGTGCCGGGCATTGTCTAAAAAGGATGGCTAATAGGGAAAAGATTCTAGTGTTAAACCCCAAGCGACTATGGATGAACATCTTTTACATTGCACCACTCGAGCGAGAGTTTTTGTGCTTGCCATTGTGTGAAATCGGATTTATGCTTTGAAATAGTTCTTGGAGGATTTTGAACAGTTTGGAAGTGCTTTTCATTCTGGCTGCTGTATGAGAATGGGCTGAATGGGAGCAAAGGTAGACAAAGGAAAAGTGCTTCTGGAGGCTAATGCCGATCCGTGTAAGAAAAGATAGTGGTCAGATTTCTGCATCTCTGGAAGATGAAACAGGAGTACCGGATGGAGAAGGAGGGTGAAAGAAAATGAAGTGTTAATGTTGACATCAGGGTTTTGGCCACCTTAAAAGAGCAGTGTCCCAAAATAACCCATTAATATAAAAAAGCATTGGACATGTATCTGACATGAAAGCATGTATTTAAATGGGGGGG